TCCTAGAAAAATGACAGGAATAGCAGCAATGACAGAAATAGCAGAATAGATTGTTGCAGAATCCAACTCTAACATCTGACACTCAGAAAATTTCAAATTTTAAGCTTAATTTTTTTGGTGATAATCTTCTATTTCACATAATGTAAAAGAAAGATTTCGATCTCTGCTTTTTCTTTATGTTTGTGTGTCTGACTTTATCTTTTCCAGTAAAAGAGATGACCTGTCATCTGTGTACCCAGGTCCATAATTTAAATTTACAGTCTTTAAATTCTGAAAGCTTGGAGATCTTGAAATTTAGTATTTTGCAATTACACTTAACACGTTAGCCCATGCCTGCAAAACAAATAAAAAGTATCTATTTGACAGTGTATTGACACTGAAATGCAATGAAATTGCATAAGGTATGTGAATCAATCTACCTAAATATTTACTGCTTTAATGAACTCTGAATTTATGGGTGTGCATATTGAAATGAGGCAATTATTTTAAATAGCACCTATGTATTTTTAGCTAAAGAGACTGTGAAATTACATTTCCTTAAATCAACCTGAGGTTTGTTTTTATGGGTTGAGAGCACACCACAGGCTGCTGCAGGGCCGGGGCAGCAGTAAGGAAGCTAATACCAGTCTTGTTTCCACTCTGCTCTTGTGGGGTGGGGAAGGTAGAGAGATGAATTTCACACCAGTGTGATTGGAGTGTTCTGTAAAGTGGATTATTTGAATTTCAGTCCCTGCAGCTTCTGAAAAGTAGCCTGCACCACAGAAAAGTAGGCTGAGAGGGACCTCTGGAGGTCTTCTAGTCCAACTTCCTGCTCAAACCAGTGCTGACTGCTAAGGTGAATAAGATTGTCCAGGCACTTGGGTTAAACAAGTTTTGAAAATCAACAAAGATGGATATTCCACAGCCTCTCTTATTTTTATTGTGAAGTATATTTCTTTATGGCTGACTGGAAATTCCTTTACTGCAATTTCAGGTTACTGTCTCCTGTCCTTCCAGTGCACCTTTGGAAAAGGTGCTCTCTAATCCCCTCTCTAGGCACAAAAGGCAGCAGTTAGCTCTCCCCTTTTGCAAGCATAGAACAAGTCTGTTCCTCCACTGGATTTTCCCATTTGAAATATATTTCTTATGTTGTTTGTGGAGCTCAAAAGTAGTCTTGGTGTTCTGGAAGTTTCCATGCGATGCTGAGTAGAAAGAAACAAGCACTTTGCCTGCTGGCTAAGTTGCTAGTGCAGCTGGGTATGTGGTTTGTCTGCATTGCTGCAAGGAGATACTGCTGACTCATGTTCAGCTTCTCCTTCAGATCATTTCCTACAGAGCAGCAACACAGACAGACAGTTCCCAGCCTATCGGAATGCACGAGCTTATTCCCTCCCACATACAGGGGTATATTTGTCTCAGATACAAGAAAACTTCTGGTTATTTTGGCTCAAGTCGATTCACAGTTAAATTGCCATCTTTTTTGAGAAAGAAAAAAAACACATCAAAACTTCAGCTGACCTAATTACAAATATTAATTTACTCTCTATTGAGCATTTTGCACTTTTTAGAATTACATCATAGCGAAGAAATTTTTATGCAAAAAGGGCATTAACAGCTGTTGATTTGGGCTATATGGCCAGGCAATAAAAAGGGTAGTTGGTTCAACTTTGTACAGCAAGCAGACTATAAATACTCCATCCTCTGCACTGCTTGGATGGAAATGTACCATGGCTCAGGCATGCCATTTAATGTAAATAATTAATTCTTCCGAAGAGTTGTTGCAGGTTTCCTAAAATTAATACACTGTAGCACTATTAGAAGGCCTTAATTCATTTAGTCACTGTTGCCACAGTTAGCAGGGAAAGAACATCAATATCAGTATGGATTTTTTTTAACTCAGTGTAATCTCAGATGGCTGCTTCAAATGCCGGTGATAGCCAGATCAAAGCATGTACGTTCTGGCACCTCCTCTGCTTACAGACAAGGCTTCTTCCTTCTTTTGTGTTTCTTAGCAGATTCCTGGTATGCATCCTCCTAGACAGCATCAGTAGAAAGTGGTGGTGCTTGGGATTCTTACTAATGTTGTTATCCTATAATTGAAATAGGGATTGAAATTCCTCTATATGTGGATTTTTTAAATATTATTTATCTGTATCCTTTTATATCCAGTGAATTTATCACAACTGGACTGACCTGTTCTTTGATTTAAATTAATACAAGGGCATTTGTACTTTGAGATAAGTCCATGCTGAAAGATGGATGGAAAAAACCTAAGTGAAGGTATGACAGTTTTTCACCCAGATATTTAAAAATTGATGAGGACTAGATTCTGCCCTGGTTATGATCTTGCTGTATGATAAATTCAAGAAGGTCACAAGGCTTTCCTTTGTGTGTGTTGGGGGGAAGTTGTTTTCACACAGAACATTACTCCTGAAAGAAATAAGCTCTCCTTTTATACATATAGAGGAGTTCTCGAGTCTTCCAGGAAATTTGTTTGAAAACTATTTACAGTATTAGTATGCAAATTATATACCACACGCTAAATGGGATTCTTGCTGCAGAGCACTCTGACAGGCATCTCACTATTTGAACTATGGTAGTACAGTTAAAAAAACAACACAAAAACACAGCTGGATATAATTGTATTCAAACACATACTTATTATGTTAATGAGGGCATACAAATAAAATTAAATGTTGTCCAGCAAAGGTTTTCCCAAAAAGACTGAGTTATTTTAGCAAAATGTTCATATAATGCAACTTTTTGTGTTTATTTTAATTGAAAATATGTTTGATATTTATTCCTAAACATTGACAGATGAAATTTAGCAGCATCAGAAAAACAATAAAACCCATCTTGTATCAAGTATAATTTAATAAATATATTTCAGCTGAGAAAAAATAAATTGTGTCCCAATCTACATTCAGTACTTCCAGTCATATAATTTAAATGAAGTTATGAGAACAGTGTTGTATAGTGATACATGTCTTTAAGCTCCTATTGTTACCCCAGGTTGTCAGAGTAGTTGATGCACCCTTTAGCCACCTCCCCTTCTGCACTGGAGTTTCCTGATGCTTCCCTGCCTCCACCTTCCTGGGGCTGCTGTCCTGTTCGCTTCTCTTCAGTCCCACCTTGGTCCAGCTTCTCCCCCCACAGCCTCTCCTGTGTGCCCCCACCTGAGCAACTTCACTTCAGCATGAGAGGTTTTAAACAGCCAGGTGTCAGAAAGTATCCACTAAGTGCTGTAGAAGTTCAGGACTGGGTTGGGCCTCTTTGCAACCAGCAAAAGCTTTGCCCTTATGTCATTTCTATGAGTGTCCCAGAATTTCTTGTCCCCCTGGCATCAATCTGCACAATTCTGGCATGTAAGTTACGCAGGCAAGTCGCAGGATCTGTCCATACCAATTTACTGCTGGTGGGCTTGAAATCTTTAAAAACAAGATGCTTTAGATGAGGTTTATGCCTTTTGTTCCGCCCCTTTCCATTTTTAGGACGTGCTTTTAACAAACCATAACTGAAAACTGAACAAATAACAGTTTGTGCCTTATGTAAGTGTGCCTGCTATTCCAATTGTTACATTCAAAGGCTGTAGATGTTGTTAAAGCCCCTGCCTTCTTCACTGCCAGCTGCTGCTGTAATCCTAAAGTAGATGCACTTGTTCTTTTTAAACTTTATATCTCAGTATACTACCCTGGGAAATTGCTTTCTGCTTTTAAATTGACCATCATGCAGAACTTTGTATTTTTCAACCTTTTTCTTTGAGATTTGCAAGTTATTTCTGAGTTCAAAACCTCCCATTTTTGTTCAGAAGCACAAAAGATACCATCCCAATTCTGTGTGTCAGATGCAGTCTTAAGCGTATTGTCTACTTTTTATCATTAGCAATGAGGAACTGTTTCTACTTCAAATGTTATACAATCAAATGCACACTAACTGATTACTTTAAAATAGAAACTTTATTTATTTATTTATTTATTTTTAAAAAGCATATTAGATTAAAAAAAAAATCAGTCTGTTGCTCAGAATATTTTCCAGATGCAAAGTACTATTGCTCTCCATAGTGAAAGCTATTTTTTTATTAGCTATGTAAGAAATTCTTAGGCTATATAAGAAATTTTTAAAATTTTGTCATGTTAAATATACAGTCACATCAAGCATTTTCCATTATGATAAGAAGACAGAGTTTGTATCATTAGATCAATGATAAGTCCAGTTTGGCTGTTGGGCAAGTAAATTCAATATCTAGCTACTTCCATTAAAAAAATCCCAACCTACTTGCACTAAAAATCTGCTCCCACTAAGAGAGCAGATTTTGTCATTTCCACTCAGTGTCAAATGTAATCCCTCTAAAATCAACAGATAAAACTCACCTGAGAGCAAAACACTTAATATTATTTGTTTCCAGGAATGGGTAAAAAGCAGATTTACACATAGATTTTGTAGTTAGAGGTAAGTGTCAAAGGAAGTTGAATTAGGAGAAACTAGAAACTATTTGTGTGCTTTGGGAGGCCACAGAGTTGTAAGAATGAACCATTGAAACCCAAATCTGATGTGTTGAGAGTAATTTTATTTAGACTGTCAATCTTCTGGTCAGGCTGCAGAAGCCTGTTTTGTTGTTTTGGTTTGGGTTTTTTTCCTTTCTTTTCTGAAGAAACAAAACCCATTTTGGTACTTTTTTAAAAAAAAAAAAATTAGTTTTAAAGGGAGATTCTCATTAAAAATTTAAAACCACATGCTTCTGAAGTGAGCCTGAGGTTCACAGCTGAGGTGAATATTGCATAATTCTGTTTATTTTGTTTCATTAAGTCAACCATGCTCCTTAGAGGGATAGCTAGAATGTAATGAATTACTTCCTTGGCAAAACCAAAGCAGAAACGGACTGGTTTCCATTATCTTAGCAATTTATTTTATTTCAATTTCGTGGTGTGGAATTATTTTTCAGTCTTGCACACTGAAGAGGAGTAGCTCAGAGTTCCTTCACAGATTTAGACTTTTGCTTTTCTTTCTATTTCTTTTAATAGCCTGGCTGTGTAAACACTACTGAAGTGGATATAAAAAAATCTTCAAGAATGAGAAATCCACATAAAACAAGAAAGGTAAGTATGGTTATTATAGCAAAAGCAGGAGGTGGAGGAAATTTATAGAATGAATTTCCATAACTTCTTAAAGCACTTTTTTCTTACAGCTGCAAGGAACAAATGCATGAACGTATGTTAATATTTCATAAGCTTTTAGTTGAATTAGTATTAACAAATTTGCTAATGCTAATTGAATGCTATCACATAAGATTCTTGGAGAAATACAAAGAGATTTTTAAGATAAAATTCATTTTTGCATGCTTTGTTCATGTTGTTTAGGAGATTGAATCAAGCATATAAAAATGTTTCTGTCAGTAATTAAGGAAAAACAAAATTAAAATTCAGAGTAAATTCTAACAGCAGTTTTTGTCCTAGTCTTAATGAAAAGAGTGTCTCTATTTTACAGTTATGCCCCAAATGGATGACTGGAAATTAGGGAAGAAATTAGCTCTGTCTAAACTAGGTTGTAATTAGAGTATAACTTCTCTAGGAATGTACAGATGGATTGGCTCAACACTTCTAAATCCCTTGCAACATAACCATGTAGACTGACTCCCACTTTAAAGTACTTCCTTTGAGGTTCATTTGCATGTTGACCCATAGAAATGTATGTTTTAAGAAGGAAAGTGGATTTAGAGAAAGTTTTAGCTTGGCTTATTTATGATAGTGAAAAGTCCAGATTAATGTAATTTACTAGAAGTAATTGCAATTTTGGAAGTCATCCAAATAATCTGTGTGTCAGTGTACCTCTCAGGATGTTCCACCTACCAGTGGTCTCCACTTACTGTAATAGCATCTCTCAGTGTCATTCCCCATGTTTACTATGATACTAATATAGAGACCTAATAAAAGTAGATCCTTTGTTGTGTGGCTTTATGGAATTGTGGGAGTTTGGGAGTCTTTATTTTACACTCCAGTGGAGAAGCACGACTTAATCTGAGTGCATGGGTTATTGCAGTTTCTTTAGGAAAAGATGATCTTGGCTAACTCCTTGAGCACAGTTACTATGAGTGTGTGTAGAAAGCATTGTCTGAAAGCAGCTGTCATTGTTCCATATTGTTTTGCATAGTCTGTCTATGGCTTACAAAACGACATTCGAAGTCACAGCCCTACGCACACGCCAGTGCCTGAGACTAAGCCACCCACAGAAGATGAACTACACCAAGAGGTTTGGAACTTAACTACAAACCTGTACTTTTAAATGAACTTTTTAGGAAATAACTTTTTAGGCGTACACCCAAAAATTATTGTAACTGGGGAGTTATTCAAAACAGCTCTTGCAAACATTTCATGAACCTTTTCCTCATCTCAAGGCATATGGATTTGGGCACATAACTTCATCGAAATTAATGAGACAAAACCTGAACTTTTTGTATCATGCATTAAACACCTCAAAGCAGTGGGAAGTAGGCCATTGAGTAGGTTCTTCGTATAATAAGCCCTTTAGCCCCTTCAGCTGCAGACAGCTTGCTCTTATTTCAGCTTGCTCTTATTTCTTATTTATTGGGAGCATACTTACTACTCCGTGCAGGTTCACACATGTATCTATTGTTAAAACTTCGTTACTCTTTGTGAGATGTTAGAGTCTGGAGAAGTTAAATGTCTGAAGAAGTATTAGTTCTCCTCAAAAATCTAAAAAAAGGCTAATTGGATTTCTGTTGATGAACCTTTTGGGAAAATTATGTTATGTTGGGCACATTTTTTGTCTCTGTATGATATTTTCTATTTAATGGAAACTTCCATTTATTTTAGAGCTATACTGGTGAAATGTTGTTTTAATTCAGATATATTTCTCTTCTGTGCCCTAGGATAAATTAAGGTACGATTACAGCCCTAATAAAAAAAGTTATAGAAATAGAGTCAAGTAATAAATTACATATAAAACTCTTTGCCTTCCTTTCTTGCAGATTAAGCACTGGCAAATGCAATTAGACAGACATAGATTAAAAATGTCAAAAGTTGCAGAGAGGTACGTATATTGTCACATTTTCTATTTTTTTCAATTAGAATGATAACTACTGGGGAAAATGTCGGTATAAAATAGCTTCAAAGAGCTATTCACAGCAAATAGCTCTTCAAAGAGAGACATGGGAGCTCAGATGTCACAGAAATAACTGATGAGAGTTTACTTTAAGTGGAGAAGTATGAAGTTCTTTTCAGTGATAAAAATATTCCAGATATTCCATGATACATTTCTGATAAACCTAAGTCACTGAAAGAGCCTCTGCCCAAGTGATCACAAGTTTCACCTTTCATTGGCAGAGAGGCTAAATGGGAATAGGTCTGGGGTTATTGTTTTGATATTTCAAAAGGATTGAATTCATTCACTGATGAAGCAAGGAAACTGGCTGGTGTGGAGCTCAGTCAGTGCTTGAACAATGTGAGTTTGGGCTCAGATTGGGTCAGAGATATAATACTGGTAGGAATCTGTCTCCAAATAAGACCAAAATTTGTCAGGAAGAGCCTAGAAAGCAAATCAAACAAAAAGCCCAACATTACAGAAAATTGAGCTGCATAGGGCTTAGTAAAGAAAATAAGGCCAAATACAAATTGCTCTTCATCTTCTCAATAAATATTTGTGTATATATATCTGCTTATATGTGTGAATGTGTGCATACATGTGCAAATACATGTAAATATTTATTTATAAAGAGAGCAGGTTAAGATTTTTTTTTTGTTTGCTGAACAGTAGAAATATAATTTACACTAAATATAATAGGAATTGAAAAGAAAGAATAGTTGTCCTCACTTAGCAATAATTTTACAAAAATTATGAGGCCAAAGGAAAGCAAGCATAAGTAAGGAGAATGGAGATGTAAATTACCAGAACACAAGCAAAGTTTTAGTGTGAGCAACTGAGTCAGACCAATTCCTGATATTAAAAAAATGTGGAAAAGAAGTATTTATTTTTGAAAAAGCAAACCTGGGAATATTGTCCTTTGATTAGGAAATAATAAAAATATTAATTATATTTAAGAAAAAATAAAAGGAGTACTAGCAGCTGCAGGGCTAATAAATATAATCTGCGTAACATGCAGTGTTTTAGAACAGATTTTAAGGAAACCGATGATTAAAACCACTGGGATATAAAACATGTTCCTTTATGGAAAAAAATGTGCAAGGAAGAGTTTGTATGATCTAATTCATTAATGCCTAAAGGAACCTTAAATGGAGCTATGTGGAAGTATTAGGGAAGCTTATTTCTACTCTAGGTAGACCTGAGTCACCCCTCCGTCTTCAATGGTCCACTTTCAAACAGCTTGTGCAAACCTATTTCACTCTGAGCTAGTAGCTGCCTTCTGGGTGTGTGCACACACAATTACCATGGTTCAATTGTTGCAAGGTAACTTGTTAACCAGGGTAACGTGATCAGGTTTCTTTTCCTCCTGACATGACAATGTTTGATGCTTTTGTTTTCCTAGTCTATTAGCTTATACAGAGCAGTATTTGGAATATGATCCTTTTCTTGTGCCCCCTGATCCCTCAAACCCTTGGATATCAGATGACACCACTTTCTGGGAACTGGAGGCAAGGTATATAATTTTATTTCTTCTTTGGAAGTAAGGGAGTATAACATGCTTTTCTGAAAAGGTGAAGATTTCAGAAAGAGGTACTGCAGGAAAATACTGAGGCAGAAGGGCAATGCAGTACCCTTTTGGTCTTTCTAAAGTTTTACAGCTTTGTAAGATGGAAAGTCCTACAGATTAATAAATCTGTGTGAAATGTTACAGTAACCAGTTTCCAGGCTTCTGGTGTGGTGAAAAAAAGGTTTTTTGATTCTGATAACATTCCTGGTTGGAAATCTTTATTTTTCTGTGTATTACCTTCATCTTAGCAGTCTGTTTGCTCATTGCTGAACATTGCACAGTGAGAAAAAAGTGAGAAAACCATGGAACTTTAGGAGTCAGTCTAAATTATGATTAATAATTTAATTAATTGTTAGATTATTAGAATACTGAGGTATTGCCCAATTCGGGTTCTGTTGTTTTTTCTTCTGTAGCAAAGAGCCAGGACAGCAGAGAGTGAAACGATGGGGATTTGGCATGGATGAAGCTTTGAAAGACCCTGTGGGAAGAGAGCAGTTTCTGAAATTCTTGGAGTCAGAATTCAGTTCAGAAAATTTAAGGTAAATGAGAGATACATTATTTTATAATAGCTTGTAAGTTATATTGGGTTTTTGCTTTGTTTTTTTTGTTCCTGATACTTTCCGATTTTTGACCCCTTTAAAAATTTTCCTCACCTTTCGGAATTAATTCATGCAGATTGCTGCCCACTTTCATGTACAGGCTGAGAGAAATATTAACATAGTTAACAGAGACTCACATGAAGCATATTTTTCCATTCATATTCAAATTTTGGTCAAACTACTTATGTAAGAGCTTTTCTCTCAGCTTGTCTTTTAAACAGGTATAAAACTGACTCAAAGCCTGTTCAATATATTTAATCAAATATTATGAAAAGAGTAAAATGAAAATAAATAAGTTTAAAAATAAACAAAGGATCTAAAAGTAAAATCTACAGACTTTCATCAGGTTTCATCATTGGTTTCTGGGGATCATTTTGAAAATCTCTGCCAATATTCTAGTACTTGTGCATGTGACACAGCTGAAGTTGGGTGACATCTATCTCTCAAATTCCTCACTAACTGTAAAATGGAAAAGTGTTCCTAGAGTATGAAGCATGTAGGGCATGTTTTTGAAAGTGTATTTACAGAATTACTTTTAAGTGAGGGGAAAAATTATTTGATTTTAAAAATGATGTTCCATCCATTGGTTAATAGCATGTTTTGTTTTGCTGTTCTAAGAAAGTCGTATTTCAGAGAGATTAATAACGGCCCTTCTATAGACAGACAAATTAAGCTGAGCATAGTACAAAAATATAGGCAACATGTTTTTCTCTTAATTCCACCTTCTTGTCAGATGTCATACATACCACTTTCCATTCTCCAATAACATAAGTAGTATAAATCCTATTTGCATTTATGTTCTAGAACTCAGAATAATCCTAACCTACTTTTTTCCTATGCCAATTTTCACTCTAAAGTGGTGCAGCACAGCTATTCATACTAAAATTATGCTTTTGTAGCATCTTACAAGCAGCATTTAATATTTATGGTGTTGATTTATAAATGCTGATTAATTGCACAGATCCCCTTGTTGTTAATTTAAATTTGTCAGCAGAATAATTAGAGTTGGAGTTCTTTAAGTTGCTGACCGTGTTCATATTCAAGCATTAATTTTGCATCACAAATACAGCCTGACCTGTATGTGTATGACTTAATTTGTCACAGATGCAGATTTTTCTTACTAAAAACTCCAGTTGGTAAAATGAATTTTTAAAAATCAGAATAATAACAAGAAAAGGAAAAGTATTTTTTAAAAATTATTATTTAAAGAGCATCCTGGTAATTTATTATGGAGAGCAGCTGTTCAAACATGAACCTGTTGAGCCCAGTGTGTGCTGCAGTTTCTGGTGCTTTTCTGTGATTAATTTGTCTCTCTGCCAACTAGACTGTTACTGCATAATCCCTAACTCTTTCGTCTAATCCTATTTACAACACTAAATACAGGCAAACTGCAAGTAACTGATTTAGAAAAATTCTCTCACATAATTTCTTCAGAGATGATTCCTTGACATGCCATCTACTCTTCTGTCTCTTCCTCTAAATTCTTAAATTGGCATTATAAAATGTCTGAGTAATGGTGGATATGATATTAAAGGCCAGGCAGGGGATAAATTTGCTCTGAAAAGGTGCTTTCTGTGATAATTAACTGAAGGAAAACTGCCTCAGAAGCTCAGAATTATATTTGTAAATTCCCAAACTGTAGGGAAATTAATCCATTAGGTTCACATACTAAATTTGGGTTAGAAAACATGAATTTGTAAAGCTTGTTGTGCATGGCTGTCAAAATGTTTTAGATGTCAGTAACAGAAGTTAAAAGCTTAATGATTTAAAGCATTACCACTAAATAAACCTTAGAAGGCGACCACTTTTGTTGCTCACCTGTTAACCCCATCATGGTAATTTGGAGGTTTTTAGTGGTATATTTTTAATTTTTATTTTGACAGCCACCTTGAGAAAAATAATTATGTCCACCCACATCTTCCCACTGCAACAAATTCAACTCAAATCAGTTGCTGGTTCTTGTACTTTTTCAGAGCTAATCATAAAATGTACAACACTGCCAAGCCTATAGTTGGATAGGAAGCTGGGACCCTGCTTTTGAGCTTTCAAGCCGAGTACACAGGATACAGCAGGGACTGCAGGCATGACAGGAGCTTCAGTATTAGTAGATTAGATGTTTTATACCTCATTTTGGTGAAACAAGTACCAAAACAGTGAAATGATAAGTCTACCAGATACACCATTTCTATTCAAGTGTAATGATGTTATATAGCAAAAATCCCAGTGTTAGAGGTACATTAACTTCAACTGAAGTATCTGACAATATCATTCTTGGTGGATACAGATCCTGTCTCAAAGAACACAACAGGGATGAAGGAACTTTAGCTGTGATTTAATATTAAGGATTGTGCAGTGATCAGGAATATAACCAGGTTTCCCCTTACTTTGTATCTCTGTGCTTTTATCTTTGCCTGTAAATGGAGCTTATTAGTATTTCACTCTCTGAAGGAGTTTTGAAAAGCATAGCAAAGGAATAAAACTGTCTAAGCAGTTCTATCAGTGCAGTAACTTCATTACAGTGTGCCTGCAGTTGGCAGGTTGGATTCTGCACTCACCTAATGCAGGGTATGACTTGTGGTCTCTTGTTACCATGCAGATTTTTTGGAAGAATTGTTTTGTATGCTGCTCAATACACAGAACAAATAGCTAAATTAACATATATTTTGGATAATAGATTTATGAAATTCCCAATGCCTATTACAAAAATGGTGAGCATTGTTTTAAATGCACAAGACTAAAATTTGAGTATGATCCAGTACTATTGAGCTTGGTCACAAGGTTTTCCAAGTACTAAAAAAAGTACTTTTCAAAGAGAACGAGTTTATGAAATCAAACTTACTGCAGCATGGCACCTGGAGACCTAATGTCTTCCTTTAATTTCTGTAGGAAACTGTATTCCTCGTCTTGTCCTTCCTTTTTCTGTAGTGCAGAAGAATTCTTTGGAAAGTTAATATTTATATGCTGACTATGCTCCCAAGTGGTTATTTTGTAGGAATTGGAGCCTGTAAAGATTAAATCATTTCTGACCTGCCAACCTGAAAGCCTGTCCAAATCCTAATGCAGTATTGTAGTGGGTTTGATCTCCAGAGCAGCTCTAAGACTGAAAAACCTCCTTGGTTAGTGGAGAGTGGTGACAGGTTAGGTTCCATGATACACAGAAGGAAAAGCCACTGGACCCCTTTCCCCCTCCTTTGATCCTCATTTCTTAGGTCTGCAGTGTGTGACTAGTAGGGAAAAGGGACTTTGCATTCTTGTTATCCAGAAAAAGAAGAGAGGGACTAAGAAATTTGTTAGATTTGGATGTTTTCCCTCAATAATTTTTGTCTGACCATTCCCCTGCAGGCTGACATTTTTTGAGGTGTTTATCCTTTACACTGGTGATTATGAGGCCCTGTTGTGGATGCTAAGAACTTGACCAAAATTTAATCCTCAAAGCTGAAATTGCATGTGAGTTGTCATTCAGACTCAAGCTTAAATATCAAGTGCCAGCAATTTTGCCATTTCTGCAGAGTAGATGGGAAAGAACTAGTTGCAAGCTTTAATGAGTTTCTCTGTCATATTCTTGAAATCCTTCAGTTCTACTATGCCTTGAAGCTTGAAGTTGTAGTTGGCAAGGTGGACTCTAGAAATCTGAGAGCGGTGTTCCCTGCCGCTGGAAAAATATTACATGATTCTGTTAATAGAGTTTGTTTAGGATTTTGTTTGCTTTTTTTCTGAAAATGCTGAAAAGTCTGGCCTCTTACTTGTTGTGTCACATGCACTGAGTGCTAAGTTCACATAATTCTCACTTCAGTGTTTCCACACTGACTGTACCTCACACATTTCATGGAAAACCACTGCAGCCCTTCTCCCACTCTTTGTTCCTGTGGGCTAAATTTAACTGATTAGCTTGGTCTGGAATCTGGCTGCACCTGACATTTAGGTCAGTTGATGGGACAGAAGCTGTGTTGCAGCTGTGCTATTCATCCATGAGGCCACCATGGCTTTGAAAGCAATCCAGCTGTAGGACATAATCCCCAGATATCTTGCAACATGTGTTTTACCAGTGCATGTGGCTGGACGTACTACTACCATACACTACACACTCTCACTCTGCTGTGTGTCTGCTGTGTGACCCAGCATGCTGTGTGACTCCAGCAGCCCAAATGCTGGAGTAGAAGACAGCAGCGAGGTTTACACTCAGCTACTCAGGTCTCTGTTCAAACAGTGCTGAGCATCTGCTAGAAAGGGTCTCCATGGCAAAAGCAAACTTTCACCCACAGGAGATGCAGTTTCATCCAAGGGCAGCTGAGTTCTAGTTCCTTACACTAAGTTGCACCAAGTCAGTGTACATCATTGCCCCATTACATCAAATGCAATTCCCCTTCTCCCCTCTCCTGCCCTTGCACACAATTAATGTTGCAGACCGTGTCCTTTCTGCTACAGGAGTCTTCCCTTGCTCTGGTCACAGCTCATGAGGCAGAGAGCTGCAAAATGGTACAGGGAGCTCTTCTGATTTGAGGCCCTGTGCTGAGGTCTTGCTGACTCCATTTCAACTTCATCTGTGCTGTTGGTTGCCATGGGATATTGGAAAAAGTAATTTCTGAAAATGCATGAGGGGGCAGCCCTATTTTTTGTCATTTCCTAACTTTGAATATTTGAATTCAACTCTGTGGGAGGAGGGCAGGCATCTTTTCTTGAAAGATAAATAAGTAGATCAAAATCTAAAAATGTGTCTTGGCTGTGAAATAAGCACCCTAGACATAACACAGAAATCACAATTCTTCCCACTGTTAGAGAGGTTTCTATATTTAGAGTTTCATATTTTTACTAGAGTCTTTGAAAGCTATTGTTAGAAGGATAAAATTAAATTAATCTATCAAAGAACCAGTGTTTAGCCTGTAAGAATAGGTCTATACAACCTCCATATTATATGCTGCAAGCATAGAAGTTAAATTTATTGAAATTTATCTCCCATCTATTTCCCCATAAATGACTATAACCCACTATATGAAACCAGTTTGCTTACAAAAAAAATAGCATCCTAAGGCATGTTTGCAGTGACTTCCTGAATTATTGGCAGTAGTACAATGGAACAAAAAAAGGAAGTGACATCTCTGAGCTAGATCTACAGGATGTCTGCAGGGAGATAGAAAATGTATGTTTGCAAAGAGCATCCTTCCCTTTAATTTTTGTGTTCCTTACCTGACTTGGAGATACATGAGTAATCAGTCAATCCCAGAAGATGCGCTTGAAGGGGTTAGCACTGCAGGATATGTGCTTTTAAATGCAAATATTGAAAGCAGCTTAAGGAAACCAAAGTAGGTTGCCCAAATTTGAGAGAGTGAACTGAATTAGAGTTTGTGAGCTTTGCAGCTTTGAAACTTGAGTTATCAGGCATTTCTCCTTGCTGCATTGCCATCAGATTCCCAGGATACATCCCCATTCTGCTCTGTGCAGAACTATGTTCAATTCTTATATAAAAGTGGTGCTACCCACAAGTTTTGAAACTGGAGTTCTATTGGCACAGATCCACTTTGTGACCTTGGAGAAACCACTGTACATTATTACATTATTAATATATTTGCAAAACTGGGACAATATTGTATCTCTGTCTCTTGGAGAATTTTAGATGAAAAAATTATGCTTATGTACTATTGAAATTGAAGGTTGTAGAAATACCTAAAATAGTCTTCTTGGCAGTGAGAAGCTGACTATACTATCTGTGCTACAAAGAAATTTCAAAACAGGACTGTGAAGGAATAATTGCTTCCTGAAAGGTAATTTTTCTCAAGAATATCTGGTAGTAGGAATACTGTAAGGTTTGCTATGCTTTACTCTCCTCTCTTAAGTGTTTTGCAATAATCAAATTAGAATTTGGATTGAGGGTGGTATCATTATGCTTTCTTGGGGGTCTGAGTACAGTTTCACTGTTCTTCTATCCCATCCTTGTTGAACTCAGCTAAGAAAGCTTAAGTTGATTTCACAGTGCAAGCAGGGTGCAACCACATTTTAAAAGGTGCACCCAATTTATTTGTGAGCCTTGGAAAATCCAGCTGACTTCAAAGTTAAATCACTTCAAGGCTCAGCTTATCCATTTCATAGCTGTGTCAGAACAATAATGAAAAGTTGCAATGGTATATATTGCATGTTTACTGAAGTCAAACTTCCATTGAGTTCTTGGATTTGGGGGAGAACTAAAAGGTCTGAACCATGTCTAAGAATGGGATCCTAAATTAATTTAGGGTTATTTTGTTCCATGAGACAGTCTGAACATCAATAGAAGGAACAATGAAATAAAGCTTACAGCTAGTTAGCTATGATCATAAAGTGCTCAAGACCTTTTTAGTGATCTTTCTCCAGACTGAATGAGGATACAGTGAACTGGCTGCACTATATATGGCTGCCCAGCGTTGGTTTGCTCAGCAGGAGAAGAGAGAATATGTAATTCCATTCAGCATTTTTAGCAAAAATATGCATATGAATGGAATGCTGAAAAGAGAAATTAAATTATAATTAGCAAAACAAATGCTTTTCCAATGTATGCATGGTTTTTGGGTAAAAAATTAGAGTTACATGGTTTAGGATTTAGTAGGACTCAGAGATTCATGTAGATAGCAAGTATATAATTATTAGCTTTTGAAGGAAGGTCAAAAAGCGGTCCATTTATAAATAATATAAGCCCTTGAGGTTTGGCCAAAATGAAGTCTCAGTTTAATTCCAGCTAAATCTAGGATCTTCCTGTAAGCATGTTACCATACATAAGTAATGAAGATTTCCTATCCGTCCCATGAAGAGCCTTCTAATAATTGCTTCCTCAGGTGCATTGATTGCCTTGACAGTATACCAGAATGCTGGTCCCAACATAAAATCACTCAGCCTTTTCTTATTTTATCATATCTAGATGAAAACTTCAGTTACTTAATTTATTTTTTAAGAGCAAGGAAGAGCAAGAGTACTTCATTAGTGGTTATCCTGAGCTGGAAGTCAAGGTGCTGTGTTGTGCCGTAGGTTCTGGTTAGCAGTAGAAGACCTGAAGAAGAGGCCAATCCGTGAAGTTCCTGCTCGCGTCCAAGAAATCTGGCAAGAATTTCTTGCTCCAGGTGCACCCAGCGCTATCAACCTAGATTCAAAAAGTTATGACAAAACCACTCAGAATGTGAAGGAACCTGGAAGATACACATTTGAAGATGCTCAGGTCAGTTTGCAGTTGTGTTTATGGACATTGGAAAAGGAATATTGACTAGTGAAATCTATATACAGAAATGAGATGTATTTGGGAAGTAAATGATAATTAATGTTTTCTGTTTCCTAAAATGCCATTTTGGCAATGCAAATGTGTAACTTTCTTACTTTCATGAGGCATGAGAAGTTCTTAATGAAACTTCTGTGCTTGAAATAGAGTTTTCAAGGGGACTTTGAATAGAGGAAAGAATATAGTGAAGAAAAAATTAAATACTTTTGTATTAAATGCAACACTTCATGTGACTTATAACTTATTATTTCATCTTTGAAGACTTCTGAGAAAAGCAACAGAAAATAATTGGATCCACAGTAAAAGTAGCAGAACTGGTATCATCCTCCATTTTCATCAGCAGCCCAGTGATGAAAATTTAATTATTAATGCAAAGTGAAATGGTATCAGAAGGAGAGACTGAGATTATATCCCTGCAGAATTTCCTGCATCTTGATTATTAGGTCATCATCTTGGGAGCTGCTAATGGCCCCATGAAGGAGAGAAGGGAATTGAATTGAGGCTTTCCATTTTTTGGGAGAATGCCTCTTCCCTAAATAGGAAGTGGAACAATTTTACCTCCTTTTCATTTTTCCATTATGAGACTAGCAACCTATGAAGAAACAATAAAATTTTCATTAGACCCTATGAAATAGCCACTATTTTGAAGTACTCTGCATTAAACCAAACATACAGGTTTTGCTTGTGTCTGCTGACCCCTGGAGATTTAAGAACGCAGTGTATAGCAAAGACATAAAAGGCTAAAGTAAACAATAGAGCAAGATTGAAAGTTTTAAAAAAATATGTCTCTGCAGTAAAGTGACTAATGGACATTTAAATTCCTTGTCAGTATTATTTATGTTTTTTTTTAATGCCTAGTAAGTGTAAAATTTCAATACCCTTTTACTGCCAGATTTATCTTGTAATTTTGTTCTTCATTTATAAAAGATTTGGAGTATTCAGTATTTATGCAATCAGGACTTTGCCACCTGGAGAGGACCTCTGCTTAGTTCATCAAGTTCAGCAAAAAACCTTAAACCTGGAAGCCTTAATTTCTCTGGAAAAAGGACAGGCTGCTCCTGCTGAGTTCTCACTTGAAGCTTCAGGAGCTTTAAAGTGTCCTGTCTGAGGTGAAGGGTTTTGTCAGGATTAGGGCTCTGCCTCTGCAACAGGCTTTTTTTGACCTGCCAGCTGGGAAGGAGACTGCTGGTATGCTATTCTGGCAGTTGGTGGGTCATTTAACTGTTGTTAAAAATGTATGGAAAGCATTTCTGGACTGGAAATACTGAAAGATGAAACTCCATGTCAAATGCAGACACATAAGTAAAATGGGACATGTATGTAAAAATAGCCTGATTGCACTAAATATGTGCATTAATGTGTCCTGGCTAATGTGTACATTAACAATAATAATGCAGCCCAATTTATTCTTGCTTTTACAGGCATATTTCTTGTACAGAAATTAAATTTTAATGCCTATCACCACTTTTTGCTCTCTGTTAACTGCATTCTTTGTCTGCTTTCACAGACACTGAGTGAAAAAAACTTGCTCCAAATAAACCAGTCTAAGTTCTGAATGTACATCAGAATTTCTCTGCTTAGTGTAAGAAATACGATGAAATACATTTAGAATCATTTTTATGGTTTTTAATACAGCAAAAATTAAATATCACTTCTAATTTTGCCTTGCCTTAATTTTCAGACAAGGTATGGGGAGTTTTGCTTGTGTTTTTTTTGTTTGTTTGTTTTGGGGTTTTTTGTGCTCACTAATTTTATGCACTATCAAGCTGGGAAACAGTATTTTCTTTCTAGTTTGTTTGCTGTTTCCCAATTGCTGGGCTACAGGTTTCATACAGTAAAAAATAGAATCTGAGTAAAAGAAAAACTCCATGAAGATAGCTAACGTGATTCAGGATTTTTAAAAAATATTTTTGAGAGTGTTTTATATTCTGGTTGCTTTTTCTACAAATCTTTAGCATGTAATCAGAACTAGAACTATCAAGTGTTCTACATCACAGGTTTTTTGTTTCTCATCTTTTTCAGAAATTAGAATGTTCCAAAATTAAATGTTTTTTAAGCTGCACTTTTCATTTATTTTTTGAATGAAGGTTTCCAAATTTTCATAATCCGCTGAAGAATTAATATCTTGAAAATTAGATTAGCCTGGAACAGTTTTTCAATTTACATATGTATTTTCCTTTTTATATTGTTTGCTGGAGAGCAGACTAAACATCTGTCAAAGGATGTTTTCAAGAGTAGCCAGGGGAAATCCTCAGTAACCTAAGCATTATATGTGTCACTGAATTGAAAACCTAGTAGCTCTACCTAGCCTCTGAAATCACAAGAGTATCTCCAGAACCTAATTCAGAAAATCTGATGAGGAAGGACCCACGGCTCGTAATGTCATCACTTAGCTAAACTAATAAGTAAGGGGTCTGAAGCTAGGACTCAGTTGTCAATTCTTAGAAAATAATTTTGTACTGGAAAATTTGGTCTATAAATTAAAGATAGGCGTGTTGTATAATTATACATAAGAAATGGGTGGGATTTTGGCTTTAAGAATAGAAAGCAATTAAGCCTTAGCTTCAGAGCTGAAACCTGCTCTCCTCTAATACTTCCTATTCATAATAGTGCTAGCTGGTGTACATTCCACAGCCGAAACATGTGGCTACCTCCCATTTTACATGTGTCCTCTTCTCTGGGAGTAACAGCTCCTCTTTTCCTTTTCAGGAGCACATTTACAAACTGATGAAAAGTGATTCTTATCCTCGTTTTATACGATCCAGTGCCTACCAGGAGCTGCTACAGGCCAAGAAAAAGGTATTGGTCCATCTTGCCTTTGTCTTGCCACTGTGCAAAGCAGTGGTTATGTTTGCAACAATACTCAGTCTTCTCTCCCCTGTGCCAGTGCAACTGGATATCTGGTAGGTGACCAGCTTGGCGTTTTTGGAGGGTCACATACACACAGGAGTTCAATATACATATATGTGTATATATCCTGCATGCGGGCATGTTTCAATAAGTTAATCTAGCAAAACTTATTTTTATTTTTACATCCCATATTGTACTGTTTTTCTCTGTTATGAAGCACCTTAAATTGCAAAGTGCTTTACAAATACATTAAAAAAAATAAAATAAAATCCCAGAAGAATAGTCTTTCATGTTTGCAAGTTTGCTTATGTAATAATTGTTGTTCTCTTTATTCCACCTATGAAAGCTACAGAATGTGTTTAGAAACAATCTTATTCATATGAATAACTTCTAACTTCAACTATAAATATAGGGGCTTCCTAATTTTGTTTCTTTCCCTATTACTACATGAATAGTTTTGAGTAGGCTAGGAATCTGACTTGAAAGACTGATCATGTCACACTTTGGCAAATAGAGGTTCATGTCTTGTAATGTAATATTTTCTTAGAAAACTCCAGATTGTGGAATGGGTTCTGAATAGCCACAGCCCAGAGTATGTGGAGCAGCATTTACAATGCAGATTTCCATGATGATAAATAATTCTCTTAGTGGGCTCTAAACAGTAATCTCCTAGAATCCGTTGGGAGCCCTGTGCCTTGCAAAATCAGGGCCTTGATTGTTACTGGAACAAGGTAGTTATTAACACCGTAGCGTTCTATTGTTAATAATGACAACCTAAAATTATCTGAAAGTACTGTGTGATTTTGTTTTTTGTTCAAACATTGATTTCTGAAGATCCAATATAGAGAGAGATGTTGAAAATACCAGAAAGCTTCAACTGTCCGTGTGAAGTCCTTAAGTTTGTGAATGTCAGTTCATTAACACAAGATGTGCACTTCATTATTTCTTTTTACTTTCAGTTTTTCTTTAAATTCAAACCAGTTTGATCCCCATGAAAAATTATTTTTGTCGAGTACTATATCTGTTTTGCCCATCCCCTGTTTTGCCAAGTCCCATTACAGCCTCATACCTGTGTTTGCTTCCTGATTTATACAAACTTTGTTTTTCAGTCCACTGTTACATCAAACTTTCTTTTCTACTCCATTGTTCTTGCTTTTCTTTTCCCCCTCCTTTTTCTTTTTGTTTCTTTTGTTTTATTTATTTCAAATTTAAGTTGGAAAACACTCTGGATCGTCGAACATCTTTTGAGAAATTCACACGCAATGTGGTAAGTTTGTTGCCTCGGAAGACTAGTAAGCCTGATGGGACGTCCTTCTCCCCTTCCCCTCACTGATCCCTACTCTCCCTTTTGCTTTTCTAATTTGATGGTTAAAAGTTTATTCATCACAGCTTGTGAATTTTCCTGGGAATGACAGCTTTATAATGTGCTTTCATTACAACCCCTCCTCCCCTAGTCCCTTTCCCACTGATCTCAATTGTCACACATGGAGGAATGGACCTTTGGGAGCCATGCTTTTTGCATTAGGAAGCATGAAATTAGTCACTTTTTCCCCCCCCCTATAATTTTAGTAAAAAAATCTGTGAAAACGTGCTTGATGTTGTTTCTTTTTCTGGTGCCTTGTAAAATACTAAGTCTAAAACAGTTGAATACATTGGATTTCCCTCCTATATTCTTTTTATTTTACTAAAAAAGTCTTTGTCCCCCTTTTTTCAATTTGGCACAGGGAAAAAAAACAATAATATTCTTCCCATCTTCCTTAATGTCTAACAGCTTCTACAGGACCAAAGAATTCATACAGTTTATGTGCAAAGGTTTGATTTGGATTCATTTTCATAATGGACTACAAGAACTGATTTTTTTTTTCTTTTCAATGTATAACTTTTGAAAGCTATTTCTCAAAGACAGAAAAAAATGAAGGCTGGTGGATTTTGCCACCTGCCAAAAGATCCACTGATTTCATGATACTTGGGATTCTTTTTACTTATCCAGTTTCTTTGAGATTATTTTTTTTTACATTGTGAAAATTCCAACTAAAGAATTCAACGCATTTATTTTTGTAGGGCAGAAACATCCCTATTTTTCCATGCCATAAAAACTGTACACCAACACTGAGGGCGAGCACTAACCTGTTATGAAAAGAGGTAGAAAGATCTTGGATTATACTCGAGTTTGTCTGCATTGTCTGTTGAATTGTGCAGGTGACGCTGCTGTGTGTGTGTGTGTGCGTGTGCGTCCGTGGCTTTTTCTGTGACCTGGTTAGTGGAGCTGTGTGTGTTGAAATGAACAATATGAGAGCTTTCAGCAAAGATCATGGTTTTTGTTTTTTCAGTTTCTAGGGAAGGAGAAGCAGTTGTCAGAAACTGTCTCCCCTGCAATGAGGCTCAAGAGTATTGCCTCAAGTATTTAAAAAATACATTTATATTTTCCAGTAATCAAAAAAAGAAACAAACACAGTGAAAGTTTTGTGAGGCTGTGGGAATATCTCACTTTTAAAAACAAAACAGTAATTCTTTAACTACTTTTTTATAGGTAAAGGCTTCCTGTAATATGCTTTGAATCCACTGTAATCAGGAAGAAATTTGGATTCAATGGGACAAAGTCAGTAAAGGACTCTAAAAGTAAATAAACAGCCACAAAGGAAACTATCCTAATGTTTGAAACAAAAACCCCTATGTTTTGCATGGTGGTGTTGCCATAGCATGTTGCAGTGTGATTTGTGTGTTGTCTAAACAGGTCGGATCTATAAAACAACATTGTACATGATAGCACTATACATGATAATTGCATTATACTTCAGTAGGAAGTTCCATATTAATAAAAAGTCTGTAAAAGAGGGTGCATAGAGTTGGTAACATATCTGGGACCTCTGAAAGCCAGACTTTTTCCCAGTCCCAATGCCTGGAAGACTGCAATGCTACATTAATTCATAGCATTTTGAGCAGCCCAGGTGTCAGAAATTGGCTGTGGTGAAAATTATGTAAACAGGTGGCCATGAGGGGGGAAAAAGCAAGCTGTAGGTAAAGGGGTCAGGAACACAGTGCAAAAACGGAGGATGTGAAGGCAAGACTGGGAGATGCTGAAATCCCTCCCAGAGCAGCCTTATGGACGAACCAGCAGTTCTGGGCACAAACACTGGAGCATTGTGCCCTGCAGCCATGCCCGATTTTCATCCTGCTTATCTCAGGGCAGAAGTACCAGAATAGCAGCATGCCAGAGATGCAATGCAGGCCAAATAAACCAGCTGTGAACTAGAAATGGAAAAGAGGATTTCTGGACATTAGTAGTTCAGTAGAAGAGGGTTGTTTTTTTGTTTTTTTCACAGAGAAAACTCTGAAATAAAGTCAGTGGTTTTGCTTTTTTTCCAACTATTACCTGTTAACCTGGGTGGAGTCTGTCAAGTCGGGTCAGGTATGAAAGAAAAATATGTCACTGCTAGATCTATAATCTCTATTAGCCTGACAGCTCTGAAACTTGCAAATTAATCCAGAGTATCAGGATGCTCAAATGCAAACCTTTTTTCCAAGATGATTGAATTCATGTCACTCACTTCCTCAGGACCTCTTTCCACCAGACATCCTTGTTGTTCCACTCTTGTTCTTGGTTGTGATGAGTTTATAATATGTAACTATCTATCTTGGTACAGTGGTTCCAGCCAGCAGGAATGAGGGAAAAATTTATCAGAATATTCTACAGTGTACTGATTAACTTGATAACTGTGAAGTGAGGGACTGTGGAATAGATCTGTTCTGCTGATTAATACAGAAGATAGGTGTGAAAAGGGTCTTCGACAACCTGGATAAATGCTATCATCTCTGATTTAGTAGATGAAAATTATAGTTTCTCTTCTCTGATGGTTTGCAATATTTAGACTAATTTTCACTGGTTTTCTTTCCTCAGTTATATCAAAGTGGGTTTGTATTAAACTAAATTAGACCTCATTTTTTTCCATTTTAAGTGTTTAATAAAAACCCAGTAACCCTGGCTATGTCTAGGGACTCAGTCTGAACAGATGGGCTTGTAATTCATTTTCTGATTTGTTGACTCTAAGATGCTCCTGATCAATGTTAAACAGAATTAGGTTATATTTGCTACAGAAAGCATTTGTTAAACCAGAAAGTTTAGAAACTGTGGAGGGAAATTAGTCTGTACTATTTCATGAATTACATGGAAATAACCTATTATAATGAGTCATTATTTTAGTCTGATGGAGAAAAAATAGAAGTGGAGTTATACACTACTCTCAGCTCTGTATTTCTTTGACATTTAAGGGTTTTCTTTCCAGAAAATTTTCAGTAAGTTGGTGCAGTTCATGAAAGGCCTAAATGCTCAGTTTAAAAACTGACTACTTAGCTGCTCTGTAGATTTTATGGTGCAAAATTGCTAATGCCTTCAGCTGCCTGCAGCAGAAAATATGGATAAAGTTATAAAGAGGTCTGCGTTCACATAAAATATACAGAAGTAATAGCGAGCTGGCATTTGCTATATGTAATATTAGTGAACTCTTTAAAGTTTGTCTCTGAGCAGTAACCCCCGCTATCCTTGGTCTGCCTCACTTACACTCCTGGCTACTGTGTGAAAATAAAGAGCACAGGCACTTCAGTGCTACTGGAATGAAGCCATCGGATACGTGAATTGCCTTGGACTAACACAGGCTACCATGTGTGTCACAGCTTTGAGTCAGAGGCACAGAGAGCAGTGACAATGTGCTCTGGGCTCCTCCCTGCCTAGCTCAGCCCTCAGCTTTCTCTTTGAGAATAATTAAAGTACAGTCACCCACAGCTCCCCAAGGGACTAGGGAAGTTAAAGATCTAAGTCATGGAGCTGGAGGATCTCATTGCATGCTCAAGAAGTAGAGAGACTGAAAGCAGCAGTTTCTGTGGCATTTTAAGAATTGAAATTCTTTTGAAGAATTCACATAGGGGAAAAAAACTATAAAAAAAACCCAAAA